CGGATATAGCTCTTTTGCTATTAAGGAATAAATAGTTGAAGCCTGAAAACAGTAAGTGTTCATTTATCCTGTTCCTATTTACACTATAGCTGATATTTACATTATATTATTTGTAACATCTCTTTGGGGTGGTCAAAAAAGTATATGAAGCTGTCTTTCAGTGGTAGTAGGAAGATTGTAAAATATGGCAAAAGAAGCATAAAAGCCTGAAGAATTTTGCTACTTAAAGCTTTACGATAAATTAATCTTTTTTTTTTTTTTTTGGAGAAGTTTTTGCTATAGGATGCGTGCGCTCACCAGAAAGGGAGAGACAGAGAGATAGAAAGTGAGAAATCACCCCCCAGGGGGGATGGTCACACCGCAGTCCCTTCTCCTCCATTCTCCTTGGGACCTTGGGCATGCACGCACACATTCGGCATGAGTTTAAGTCACCTGATCCGGGACTCAAACTGCGGTTGACTACATGGGAGTTCAGCGACATAGCCATTACGCTAACTGCTGGTCCCCAAATTAATCTCTCTTGACTTTACATTTATTTGTGTAGTAGATGTAACAGTATGTCCCTACCTTTTTTGTTTTAGAGGTCTTTGCTATAGGGCGCGTGCACTCGCTGGAAAGACAGAGAGACAGAAAGCAAAAAATCACCCCCCCTCCCCCCATGGCCACACCACAATCCCTTCTCCTTCATTCTCCTCTCAGGATCTTGGGCACGTGCGCACACGCACCGAGTGTGAGTTTAAGCCACCTGGTCTGGTACTGGAACTGTGGTTGACTACATGAGAGTCCAGCAACATAGCCATTACACTAACTGCTGATCCTGTTTCTACTTTTATTATAAGCATTAAAGCAGGTGAAATTATGAATGAAAATTTTCTTTGTAAACTGAAATTTATACAATTACCTTATTGCTAAGTTGATTTATTGCAATGCCAAATGATGACCTGCTTTTCCTTGGCACACTAGCTGCTGACTGCCCCGTGGTATTACTGATGTTCATGCTAAGTCATCCCTGGTATTACCTTGTCATTCTTTTGAGCTGCACTATTTTATTTGTCTGATGAACAGGCTGAAGAGCTCGATGATTTCTAAATAAAAATTCCAGGATGTTTGAGGTCTTTAGAAAGCCTGAGAACTTCCTAATATACCTAGACATGTTATATTAGTAAAAAGTATATATAGCTCCTAAGTGTTTGCAATAGTTTTTTAAAATGCTTCAGAGAGAATTGAGAAATCGTTAAATTCTTGCTAAAATAATAAGTACTTTTTTCCTTAGATGTTCAAGAGAGTAAAAGGATCAGTCTCTGTCCACTTAAAATCTCAGTTTAGGGAACCAGCAGTTAGCGTAATGGCTATGTCGCTGGACTCCCACATAGTCGACCGCTGTTTGTGTCCTGGACTCGGTGACTTAAAACTCACGTGGGACGCGTGTGCGTGCGTGCCCAAGATCCCGAGAGGAGAATGGAGGAGAAGGGATTGCGGCGTGACCATCCCCTCTGGGGGGTGATTTCTCGCTTTCTGTCTCTGTATCTCTCTCTGTCTGACGAGCACACGTGCCCTATAGCGAAAATCTCTCTCAAAAAAAATAAAATCTCAGTTTAAAGTTAAGAAGCCTCAAGAATCTCTTTTTGTGATAGCATCTGTAGGACCTGTTTTATCTTTCCCATCTACTTTTGAAATTTCAGCAGAATTATGTCATTTGTGCTTTTCTTCATTTTCAAATCATGAAGCTGAGAGAGACATTCCGAGGCTTAATAGGTGGAGTGAAGAGATAAGAACAATGAATATCTTGCATAGCTGGTTTTCAAATCTGCTTTATATTCTCGAAATACAAAAGTTTTTATAGAAGTACAACCTGAGGAGGCAAGTAGGGAAGGTCATCACAAGTACTTACATTGCTTGAGCTCCTTCCCTGGAGCAAGTACAAAGCTGTGGTTCTTGTTTTATTGAAGTATGATTGCATAGTAGAAAGGCATGGTTTTTGGTTACACCCCAAATAGTTTTTGTCTTCATTTAAAATTGTGGCATATCGCAGCTAGTCTTAAAATCTATTAATTTATCTTAATTAAGATAATAATAATGCTTTGTTTTGTGAGGTAGACATGTGAGATTTTGCAAGAAACTCGTCTAGTGGAATTATTAATTCAAAGTTTCTAAAAATCTTTTCTTTGGTGTTGACTTGTGTGAGTCTAAGGAAAAATCAGACTGTGTGACATCACTTCTGTTTTTTTTGTTTGTTTGTTTGTTTTTAAATCTTCTTTGGGACAACTGGACAATAAGAATATATTTAATTCCTTGGATTTTAATCTTTCTGGATCTAAGTTTTCTGAATTTTTTCATTTAGAGTTTTAAGTTCAGAAGACTGAGATTCTGCCTGTAGGAGTGCTAAAATACAGATAACAAGTTTATTTTACAAATTAGAAAAGAGTTTATGGTCTACCTAAAAGTTACATGAAAGATTAACATAGATGTTTTGGGGGCAGGACATATATAATTTAGAGCTAAGATTAGATTAAACTAGACTTTTAGCAAATGTGTCTAAGATTTGTTTTATTAGGAAGTAAGTCTTGAGGGAAGGTTTGAAAGCTGTGAGAACTGCTGCTGTGTGTGTGGGTGCATGTGCTACATAAGTGCATACCACACTTATGCTGGAGTTTGTATGCATTTAAAATAAATGTAATATTGTCATAAATAAAAATGGTACTGTTGACAAGATTTGAGTTCTTTCTTTCCACAGTGGTATTAGATTTGTGCTGATCAGTCATACCTGTTTGGCTGTTTTACCTTGAAATAAGACATAATGTTGGGACCAGCAGTTGGTGTAATGGCTATGTTGCTGGATTCCCATGTAGTCAACTCTGGTTCAAGTCCCAGACTC